TGAAGTTTGTCCCAGACGTGTTCGATGTAGTCACCGTATACGCGTAAGAAAACGACGGTATATATTGCAACTGCTCAGCGCTCAAGTCTCGAACATCGGAAGGATGACACGAAATACATTTTGCTACTGTGCGATTCGCGAATTCGCGCGCTTTTAAATAATCGTTCGAGAACTCGTAGCCTTTAGTGTGAGCATGAAATTCGTGCTGCAACCGCTGACGGTTGTGACGGTACGTCACAAACTGAAATTACAAAGGATGGGAGGCAGTGCGGAGAAACGCAAGCACGGCGAAATGCTGCCGAGTACTATACGCGCAATTATTTGCGGCCTGTCGAATTGTGGTAAAACCAACGTTCTCATAAGTTTGCTCGAGAGTCCAAATGGCGTACGTTTCGAGAACGTGTACGTCTACTCGAAAGTACTGCAACAGCCAAAGTATCAATATCTCGAAAATTTATTTACGTCTATCGATAAAATCGGCTATTTTATGTTTTTTCACAACAGCGACCTCGTTCCACCGAACGAGGCGCGCCCAAATTCTATTTTTATCTTTGATGACGTGGCATGCGACAAGCAGGATGCGGTGAGAGAATACTTTTCGATAGGTCGCCACGCGAACGTTGATTGCTTCTATCTCTGTCAGACGTACGCGAGGATACCTAAACATCTATTACGCGACAACGCGAATCTGCTGATCCTGTTCAAACAGGATTGTACCAATTTGAAACACATTTACAATGAACACCGACGATGAATATCCTACGATGAATTTTGCAGTTGTACCGAGATTATTAGCAAAAAAAATATTGATTTTTAGTAATAGGCAAGGATAGTGCGCTTAAAGACGAGAGATACAGAAAGGGATTTAACGAGTTCGCGATACTGTAATGTGACTAGTCGTTGTCGATACTTCGCCAGAGACGAACATGGCTGATGTGCGCGAGCGTGAAAAAATCGCGAGAGAGATCGAGAAGACGAGCGAGTCGATCCGCAAGAAACATCGCGCTCTGAAAACCGGTAGAATCGAGGAGGACATGGCACAAACATTTGGACAAACATTTTAAGCCTATTATCAAACCGCTGCGACAGATCGTTGACAGCCCCGGTGTGCACGCGATAAAGAGACAGTCGCGCGACAATGGTGCAGCGTCTGCCTCCAAGCGCGAGAGGAAGGAAAAAGAGGAAGAGAAGGAGGAGGAGGAGGAGGAAGAAGAGAGAGAAAAAGAGAGTGAGACGTTCGAGCGTTCCGCGACTCCGGGGCACAAACATTTGGACAAACATTTTAAGCCTATTATCAAACCGCTGCGACAGATCGTTGACAGCCCCGGTGTGCACGCGATAAAGAGACAGTCGCGCGAAAATGGTGCAGCGTC